ATGGGGGTATGAAGTTATCAAACTATGTTATATGTCTTTATAAAAGTTCCCAAGAAAATCCAATTTTATATATATATAGTATATAAAGTATATATATATATAAAACAAATATACTCAAATAATAATAATAGTGTAATTAAAATATATCCAATATTAAAGAGGAAAAGAATGGGTTAACCTGTTAACCTACTATTACTAGGTTGTTTTTTTTTTGTTTTTTTGTTTTTTTTTTTTTTTGGTACCAGGGATCCAACTCAGGACCATGCACTCACCAGGCAGGAGCTTATGACCCTGAGCTAAATCCCTAGCCCCTCATTTGAATTCTTATGTAAAATGACTAGAAAGTACTCAAAAGATGTTCTATTAAAATTGGCCTAAGAAATGAAATGGCACTAGTTTCTGTGAACGGTATAGAAAAGAGCAGTACAGGCAAAATGAAGGCCTGCATCAAGGACCCAAAATAAGGAAAAAATTCTGAATATTTGAAATACAATGTGTTAAGAAATTTGCAAGACAGAGGAGTAGTGAAAATGTACCCAGGATGGCCTAACAGTATCAAACAGTGCTAGATTGTGGGAACTCCCTTTTCAGGACGGCGTCAGACAAAAGAGAGTATGTCTATCAGATAACAGAGTAAGTGGCGTGAAAGAAATCTAGAGATCATAGAAATCACACCATGAGAGAAACAAAAGAAGGAACTATATATATATATATATATATATATATATATATGCATATATATGTATATGTACCAGGGATTGATCAATCGATCAAGACCTTATGCTTGTCAGGCAGGTGCTTGTGCCACTGAGCTGAATTCCCATTCCCTTCATGTTAAATAGCAATAAAATGACTTGGGTGGCCAAAAGTGGATAGTTGGCACTGTCATACTTTCTCTGAAACACTGGTATGGGAAAGAATGAATTGATTTGCTCAAATCAATACAGAGAGTCAAGAAGGGGAATTAGGAAGACAGAATTTGGCTTTATATAAGGAAAATAGTTCTAATAATTTTACCTTCTCCACAAAGGAATCAACTCCCTTTCACTTCAGAGAATTGCGATAATCAACCTGAAGCCCTGCCAAGTACACTTTATTGGAGACTTCTTTTTATTTTCTGATTTAGATTATATGACACTTCAAAGTCACATAATCTAACTCCAAGGAGCTACAGAGGTATAGTATGGTTATATTCAAAACAAACAGTTACAATATGGCCTGATTCTTAAGAGAGCAGGTGCTGGGAATTCAGTACTGAGTACAAGATTCCCACACTTGAATCTACTTTGTACCTGCAAAAGCATAAATGTGCAAATAATTCTCAGCACCCGCTTTCTTACTAATCAAATAAAATGTCCAACAAAAGTATCTGGGCCCAACTCATTCTTCATAAAAATTCTTGAAGAAATCCTGAGTGACATATCTTATACATATAATACTTACATTTCTATGAATATAGGGTTAGATAAAAAATACTCTACATTAATAGATCACTATAGAGTTTGTGGAATGTCTTTATCTCCTGTAATAATACTCAATGTGTAATAAATGACTTTTACACTACAAAATCTAATGATTATTTGACATGTTATTACATGTATTTATTTTTTGTTAACCTTTTGCCCGTATAGTAAACACTGTGAAGGCAGAGAGTTTTGTGTTTTTGGTGTACAACTGTATTTCTATAACTCAGAAAAGTGACTTTTTGACATATAGGCTGTGCTTGACAGATGTTCCTTTAATTAATCAATCAATCATATCTAACTCTTTAAATAGCTTGATTAAAATCACAGAGCCACTAGGATTTTGTACACAAAGAGGCTGATTGAAAAGGCTGAATTCACAGCCACTCTGCTAAGCAGAAAAATTTACTATCTATATAATAAAGATACAGTATCTGGACCCCAAAAATCCTATTACTCTGTGGTAAGTAAAGCTTGCATATAGGAGAGGGAGGAATAAAATCGATTGGTAACAAATGATTCAACCTGACCCACAACTGTCCTGAAACAAATGGCCATTTTTGTTTTCATTTAATTCATTTTAGTTTTACAGGATTGTGCCCCACCCTTTGTTTGTAATCTTAGTAGTATAAGTGTGCTGAACTTGATCCAGATCATTTTTTCTTCTTTTATGAAGAGAAAAACATCACATTTTTCTCTTCATCAAATCTAGTGCTTTTGCCTCTTGTCTTACTTTAGAGTTGCAGATTTCCACAGTGACTGACTGTTTTCTTTGTGGATTGTTATTTTTTTTTATCTTCTCTGTGATAGACCGTAAGGCTGCCTTTATGTTTAAAATATAGTTAAAATCTCAGCATCAAAAATAAAACAGTGGTTATTTATCCCCTCTTGTCTAATATGAAATAAATACCAGATTTTTGTTTACATGTTTAAATCCTCCAACACTTTCTCACTTTTCATGGACATAATAGTATGTTGTAGACCCAAATCATAATTGTTGTTACACTCTCCATCTTCTCTTTAAGGAATTATTTTTTACATTAAATGTGCTGTTTTATAACATATTTGGAGCAATTATTTAGTACTAATGCAGTGTCTGATTATTCCAAGTCGACTGTGATCTTTTCCTCCAATAATTCTCTATTCTTAATTATCTTATTTTGATTAATTGCTTGGCCAATTGCTATTTGAATGATTTGTTAGAAGCAAGGTATATGGGAGCCTCTGGGTACTGGGAGTCTTTGCTATGTATCAGAACACCAACATCTTGGTTAATGGGGAATTTATGGGCTACTATTTCTTTCTCAAGAATCCTACTGACTTGCCTGCATTGTCTGCTGCCATATTTAATACGTGGATTCCAATAGGGGCCAGCAGGATTTGTTAAGATAAGGCTGGCTCTTCTGCTCTCATGATCTTTTCCCTGAATATTTTCAAGCAAGGCAGTACTAAATGCAGCAGTTTCAAGCAATGTTTAGACTTCTTTTTTTTTCCTTTGCAAGAAAAATACAATGCAGTGTGCCATCATCTGACTGCTTTTCTTCCCTTTGTGTAGTCAACTATATCTCCAAGACACTTTGCATAAACATTAATCTAATCTCTTTTCTTAGTATTGGAACTCTTAGTATCAAAGTCTGAGAACATGATGTGGGACATAAGTAATTAAATAACCTTATTCATCTTGGACGCAGTAGTAGAAATTACTTTTAAGACCAGGCAGCTTCAGGGTGTCTGATTTTTTATTTCTCAGTGGTGAAACACTGCCTCAAAAAAGGAACCTATCATGATGTTTGGGGGGAGGAATCCAAAAGATATCCTATGTCACACTTTGTTCTCCATAGGGCCAATCATATTTAGATTAAGAGGATTCCTTTTAAGATAAATTTGTCTTGAGATCCGCAGACTGGGCCCACAGCTTGATTTTATGAGTATCTAGGCAGACACAGGGTAGAGGGTAAATGCAGAACAGGTCCCTTTTCCCAGTAGGAAAATCCAACCACATTTCCTGGAATATGCCAAAAGCAGAGAAAGTCTCACCTTATCAGAATTGTGCTTAAGCAATAAGCAGGCCAGTGTGGGATGCAGAGATCTCAGAAAAAGGTGGCCCCAGATGCTTCTACCATCTTTATATCTTCCTACTCAGTACCTCACAGTGTTTCATGCAGAGCGGAGACCAGATGGACAGGTGGAAGGCAATCTGGAAGCACCTCTGCAGTTTCATACTTTCTGTGAGGAGTGTTACTTGAACCATTAAAAATGCAAAACTAAAATATAGAAGTGGAGTTTAAGTAAGCATCATGTGGACCTTCTAGATATTAATTTGCTCCTAGATTCAGGTTCCTCCCAGGTCGTAACTGCCCCTGACAAACTAAACTCTCTATCGGAACAACCCAGAACCTCTCAAATCTAGTTTTTTCCCCAGCATTCCTTTCTTGGTGAGCTTCTCACTTCTCAAGATATACTGTATAGCGTGGCACACATCAGACTTCTTTACATTTTTGTAAGCTCTTGGAGGGCACATATTAACCTTAACATGAACCATGACACTGAGTATACAGAAGTGTTCTTGACATGTTTGTTAAGTGAAATATAGGAACCTGGATGCCAAATATTCACCTGTGTTATAGAAAGGGCTAAAGATATTTTGCTTACAGAGAAGATAAATTGAGTGAAATTTTATAGAGAGAAAATAGATGGCAGAAAATATCTTATGTGATGGAAAAATAGCAACTAAGAAGGTGATTGCATTGGCCCTACCGGTCCCTAAAAGGATAGACCAAGAGCAATGGATAGAGGCTGCAATAAAAAAGATATTTAAGTAAGTACATTACAAAGCTTTCTTAGAGTCGCAGCCCTGACATTACCACCCAAAGAGCAGTGACATGAGTTCTCTCACATTGTAGATATTCCAAATAAACACTAATGCTAGTTCACTGTGATGTTATAGTTCATGAAGCATTGTTGTGGTGTGTGAGTGAGGAGATGCTGGAGACCTTTGAGATCCTTTCCAGTCCTGTGACAGTGTGATGTAATGACACTATCAATAGTCCCCTGTTTGAACAAAAAATTTGAAAAAACAGTTACCTGGTTTTTGAAAACAAAAAGCTATTTTTGTATCCGAATAATGGTAATGATAAAGGTTTTAGTAGTCACAGACCAACTAATACATGTGAGTGTGACTAAAAATTGTACATTGATAGTTGTTACTACAATGAATAAGAAATTAAGGCTCAGGCACTATGCTTTGTTCAAGTGCTGTATCTTCTTCATACTCTAATACAGGACATTTATATAGCTATTGTTTTAGGATTTGTGAGATACATCGTCTCTGTTGGAACTGCTAAACTCCACTGTTAGGCATCAAAGCAACTATTGATAATATACAAATAGGTATAGCTTAAAAATGAATGAAAACTGTGCCCCCAAATCCCCCAACATTCTCAGTCAAGATTAGTTTGTCAGTCTCTAAAGCTTTGCTCCTTTCTCTTTGAGAATAAGAAAATTCATACAAGGCCATACTCCTTGTGTCATACTTACTCCATTTGCTTTGCTGAGAGCCTGGAAGTAGATGCTGTAGCTTTTCAGTGGGGAGAGAGGAGGGTTCCAGTAGCCATTATATGTTTTGTTATCACCCACTGTAAATGGCTGGGTGACAGGTAGGTTGGCAGGTTTCAATTCAGCAGCAAAGTAGTGTAAAGAATCCAGGCTGGAGGCATTCCTATAGCTCACAGGTACCGAGAAGCACTCGATGATGTCAGCTGCCCTTCGGGATTTTTGAAGTCTCTCCTCCTTGACAACCAGCTGATAAACACTGGGTAGGAAAGGGAAGAGACAGATGAGAAAGTCTTTCAAGGGACACGCTCATCAGTTTTCATGTCAGCACAACATTTCCAACCTGTAAACATCATGGTCACTGCTGTCTACAACTAGCTCCTTTTCTTTGTAGTTAAGGATTTTCACATCCATTGTTTTGTAGAAATCTCTCTCCTCTCAGAGGTTATAAATTCAGGTGATACTGGAAGTGTCCAAAATTCATCTTGGTCCCCATTCCTACAAAGCTGCTGTGCCTCCTTCTGCATGTGTTTCATCATGTGTCAGGTAGACAGATCTTGAATGTAGTTCTCTTCCCCAGTTTCTACCTTCTTGGAACTTACTCTTTATTTTCAATTAACAATCTCTAATCTCTTGCCCTCAGCAGTGATGCTCTCCCTCTTTTCTTCTTCCATTGTTCATACCTGACTTGGGCACTTTCCTGTCTCTAACCTAGACTCACTTGGTCCCTTTGTCTCTGATTTATTAGATCAGTTAATCAGTTCATTCATTGATCTTCCTATTTATATAACATTGTCCCATAGTCTATTAATTGTCTAAATTATTCAACTACATCCCTCATCATGGCATGTGAAGCCCTTGGTTTGACACTCAGCCTTTATTTCAGAAGGTCTCCTGATGTTTGCTCCATTGCAGCTGCTGCAGATGCCATGCTATTGTACACACATCATTTGGCCCTCTTGAATAAATGCTATTCCTTTAGAAAATCCTTATTGTACAGCTCTATGTAACCCATGTTCTGAGATGGAAGATGAATTTCTCAGAGTGTTCCAAATGAGATTTGTATAAATTAATGAGGTGGTTGAAGCAAAGGCCCCAAACCAGACATTTAAATATGGCATAGAGAAATAGCATATTGCTTATGAATAAAAGAGGGTGAAGATACATGTTTCCACCCTTTGATCAGATTATCCATCCACAGATACATGGTTAAGACACTCAACTTGGGAAAAAACACAGAGGCACAGGACTGGATCATTAAGAAAAATAAAGGCTACAAATTTCCCTTCTCTGAAAAATATATAACATCTTCAATATGGCAAGTATTCCCTGAATCCCCTTGAGCATGGGATGGTTAATCATGCACATGGGGAAGAGGTTAGCTTGTGGGCATAAGACAGACTTGGAAGAATATGAAATATGATATATGTATGCATGTATGCATATATATATATATATATATATATATATATATATATGAATGACATCATTTCAAGTTTATAAAATTAGCTGAGGCAATTAAATGCTTAAATTAAACTGCGGTTTCAATTGTCATTCCTGCTTCAACTCTGGGGTCTTTCTTAAATGAGCAATTGTAGTGCTTCTCTGGCCAGCTAAGACTGAAGCAGTCACTGGAAAACACCACAAAGACCTAAACTCCAAACGTGAAAATCATGTGATGGGACTGGAGGGGCACTTAAAGCAGAGTCTTTAGGACCTGCACTGCTCTTTATGTAATGATAATCTCAGGTAAAATTTCAGATCTGTAATGGTGCTAATGGTAGCTTGACTAATGGATGGTCCATTACTCATGGGACTCTGGTCTTTGTAGAAAAGGGCAAGAGGCAACCAAAAGTAGAAGATTAACTTCTGAAGCAGTTTCCTGGAGTCTCCTGCTGAGAAAAGCAATGGAATCTAAGAATAGTCTGCACTGGATTTGGGGGCATGAAACCTACCCAACCCTCATACATCCCTGACCAATGATCTCATCCCCAACATCAAGGGATGGAAAGAGTGATAGGCCCCTGCTGTCTCATAAGGCTCTGTCTGTATCTTGCCACCACTTTGGTTTATTATGTCTACAAGACAAGACCTCTGTCTTGGCTTCTCATACAGCTTTCTTATTCTAGCTCATCTTCATTCTCTAAACTGAAGGCCCAAAGTCTTGCGAGGTTCCTAAGGGCCATATCATCCCCTCAGAATCACTTTTTATTACTTCTGGCTTTCCAGTGATGGGAAAGATCAAGAGCCCAAGGTGAGCCTCACGTACTGCCCGAGACTGGCATGAGATTCTGCAGTTCTGAACCCAGATTCTACTGGGTTCTGAACATTTGAACATGCCAAGGCCCTAGAGAAAGGCACAACATTTGGATAGAGGTTAACATGTAACCTCACCACTTACTCCTCTTACCAACCTGAATTTGAGTTTCTCTTTGTACATTTAACCAAATTCTACTCTACATTGGAGATGGTGCTAAGCCTGAGAGGTTAAGTGACCTATGCAGGTCAAGCTGCAGCAAAAGCAGAATGTCAGATATGTCCTTCATGGTGCAGTATCCTTTCTTCTCCATACATTCTTTTCATACAAACTAACACAACATCTGGAGGGGCATCTGAAAATGTTTTTCCTTTTCTTTTTTCCTAACTTGGTGACCTGAACTCTTTATCTTTATCTCAACCAGCCTCATAAAACCACAAAGATTAAAAAGTACATTGGAGGGTAAACTGTATAGCCAACGTATAGTTACACGATTGGGATTATTGTACCAAAAGATACTCAGCAACTCCCTGATAGCCCCTGCATCTGTAGCTTTTCCATTTAGAGGCTAATCTTCAATTGCAGCCAGAAAGTCATAAACCATTTTGTCAAATAAATCCATTGCCAGGGCATCCAGCCCCTCTCAAAGACCTAGGAACTATGATTAAAGAGGAGGAGAGAAGAAACAACACCTTAGTTGTGTAAGTTTCCTTGTGAAGTGTCCTTTGTGAAGGATACTTGTTAGGAAGCTACAGGGGAAAGAAACCAGACTCTGCATATTATTTTTGTTTTCTATAGTGACAGCATCCTTACTTTCATCACTGTCTTGAAAACATATATATCTAGGAGCATGCTGCTCTGAGCTTCTTGGTGGTGATAAAATTGTATGTAAATGAGAACAGTCCCCCCAAAGCCTTATCTTCAGCTTGGGAGAAGTGGCTGTAATGACTATTTAGGATTACCTGGAAAGAGAAGGGAGTTTTTCAGGAAATTCCTGACAACATAAGAGAAGAATGCCTTACAGTGTTCACCTCTCAACATACAATTTTTTCTCCTCCCATGTTATCGTCTCTGTTTCTCTCAATGAGAACATGAAAATTATGACCATTTGTTTCATGTAACTTATCTTGGGGATCTCCTCTTTTAGGGCTCTGAAAACTATATTGTATCCTCACTCTGTCTCATTCACTATAAGGTGGCTACTCAAAGATTGAGGAGAATTTTTATTTTCAGTTTCAGTGTCTCTTGACATTTGAGGCAAGAACATCCCACTCTGTTCCGAGGTTCCAAGATCCAAGGATACAGAGATCAACTTCGTCAGATACCATGAAGTTTAGAATCTACAGGATTACTGCAAGTTCTGGAAAACTCTGTCCCTTTTTAATCTTTTTATTTTGAGTAGTACATGTTTCCAGCACACAGTGATTACTTTCACCTTAATTCTTTTTTTGCATCCCCTTCCCCTTCCTTCCTTCACCTTGGCTCCCTGCTTTTATAAGCTAATAGTTTAGATCAGGGATGGCAAACCTCTTAGAGCTTTCAGTAACACAAACTGCCCACTGTGGCATGTGTACCTGAGGTTTGCCACCACACAGGTTTAGACTATGATGCCAGACACTACTTTAGGTGTGACTCATGCTTCTCTGACCAGACTGCACTGAGGCAGAGACCTATCAGAGCCATCCTTCCATTATTAACAATTCCAATGGCACCTTTTCTAGCCAGTGGTTGTATCCACCAGGGATGTTGAACTGAGATGACAGCCAAGGAGTAGATTTTAGTTTTCAGGTAAAGACTGTCCAACTCCTTGTTCTCCCAAAAAGATGCATGTCTTAGTTCATATTAATCCAGCAACAGACCCTGAGTCAAGGTTTCACGATATGTGATGCATTAAGAAAATAGTCAAAGGAAGCAGAAGGGAAAAGAAGAGGGAGCAAAGCAAGGGTGTGAAAACAGGTGTAACCAGTCTCAGAATTGTCTTATGGGGAGCTCTGGAGTATAAATTATGTCCTAGAGATGGTCTTATTTCATGCTTTCAAATCTCAAGTAGCAATTACTTATTGACTATGGGTTGCCCCAGAGGGATGTAATCTCAAGGACTCCCAACTCTGTGGGTGGGTCAAGCAGATGACTCCAGTAGCCCAGGCAGTCTTCCAAGGGAGGTTACTCCTTGCATCAACATGGAGCAGCAGGGAAATGGGCACCCTGCAGAAAAGGGAGTTCACAAAATTTGTGTGGGTATCCCCAGTGGCCCCCACAGAGCACTTCTGGAACAATGAGCAATAATCACATGGGATTTGTGTAAGATGATAATTTCATTTTGGCAAAGTATTTTTCAGCTTGTGCTTCCAGGCCCATACAGCTGAGGCATACAACAAGTTTTCATCAGCCCTCATGGCATTTCTGCTGCAGATTCTTCAAGTGAGGACTGAGAAGAGTCATCATAGACTCTTAAGAGGGTAGTACAGCTTAGCTGTTCTTAACTTTGGCTGCACTTTATAATCCTAGAGGCCTTTTTAAAATGCCCTTTTCTTGGGGACTGAATCAGTAGGGATAGGACCCCAGGATCAGTAGGGTTCTTTTTTAAAGCTCTCAAGGTAGTTCCGACACTTGGCAATGAAGCCACAAACTTAGGTGCTTCTGATGCTCACACCTTTGTATTCAGTAGGAACATCCCCTACCATCATTCTCGCCCTCTTAAAAACCATTGATTTGGGTTATTCCAGGTCCACTAAAGCATCTATTGATAATTGTTAGTCATTACCTATCACAACTTAAGTTACTGTGTGCCACACTGCCTGGCTGTTTTCTCCTATAGCTTTTATCACAACCAAAACATTTTTTTGATGATTTCTTTATTGGGTTACTGCCTGTGCCCCCATAGTGTGTGAATTTCATGAGGTCTCAGAGATTTCTGTTTAGTTCATTGCTTTTAATACCATTACAAATACATAAAAATTATCCACAGAGTATTCGTTAAAGAAATAAATTTACAAAACTGA